TTTTCTGCCAAGCTGCTTTCTAGCTGGGTGGCCCCAGCATATACTGGTGCATGGGGCTGTTCCTCCTCAGGACTTTGCACTTCTTACTGAGTTTCATGAGGTTCCTGGCAGCCCATTTCTCCAGCCTGTCCAGATCCTCCTGAATGGCTGCATGACCCTCTTATGTATCAGCTGTACCTCCCAGTTTTGTGTCATTACCAAACTCCCTGAGGGTATATCCTGACCCATCCTGCCCCGTCATCCAGATTATTAATGAAGCTATTAAACAGGACTGGACCCAGTATAGACCCCTAAGGTATACCACTAGTTACTGGCCTCCAACTAGTCTTCATGCCACTGATCAACACCCTCCAGCCTGGTTAGTGAGACAGTTTTCAACCCCTCTCACTGTCTGCTCATCCAGCCCATATATCAACAGCTTGCCTACGAGGATCTTAAGGGAGATGGTGTCATGTACCTACTGAAGTCCAGGTAGACAGTATCCACTGCTCTTCCCTTGTCTAGCAGCCTAGTCATTTCATTGTAGAAGTTTATCAAGTTCGTCAAGCACGACTTCGCCTTGGTGAAGCCGTGCTGACTACTATTGATGATTTTATTGTCCTTAATGTGCCTGGAAATGGTTTCCAGGATTAGCTGCTCCATCACTGTTGCTATGGTTTGACTTCCAATTCATGAAATAATGTGTAATATGGAATTCACCAAATAGTTTATGGTTTTGGACTGCATCTTCTCTCTTCTCCCAGGAAACAATATTGCTGGAAACTCTTAAGGCATATTTATTCATGGCCCAAACATTTTGTTAATGCAGAATAAGGGTCCTCTGTGCTATCTTCACAACTCACTACCACTACACCTAATAAAGTAAATGCTTTTCAGAACAATTAATAGATATTGCTGGCTTTGGAGAAAGAGGAAGGACACAGCTGAGATTTTACTGGCATGGGTCATAACACTTCATTATATATGATTCACATGTGTCTAATTCTTTTATTTTTCAAAACTGTTTGAGCATATTTTAAGCAACCTCCTGTATTCAATTTCTGTTTGTCCCCAAATAAACAGAAATCCTTCTCCATGTGACAGAGAAGCCAATGAGGAGGGGTGCCATGCTTGGCCTTGTTCTCACCAACAGGGAGGGGCTGTTGGGGAATATGAAGCTCAAAGGCAGCCTTGGCTGCAGCGACCATGAAGTGGTGGAGTTCAAGATCTTTAGGGAAGCAAAGAGGATGCACAGCAAGCTCACTACCCTGGACTTCAGGAGAGCAGACTTTGGCCTCTTCAGGGCTCTGCTTGGTAGTGTACCATGGGATGAAGCCCTGGAGAGAAGAAGTTTGCCAGAAAGCTGGTTAATATTCAAGGATGACTTCCTCAAAGCCCAGGAGTGATGCATCCCAACAAAGAGGACATCAGGCAAAATCACCAGGAGGTCTGCATGTATGAACACGGAGCTCCTGGACAAACTCAAACACAAAAAGGAAGCCTACAGGGGATGGGCAAGGACAGTTAGCCTGCGAGGATTACAGAGAAATTGTCTGAGCAGCCAGGGCACAGGCTACAAAAGCTAAAAACCTGATAGAGTTAAATCTGGCCAGGGACATCAAGGGCAAGAAGAAAAGCTTCTATATGTACAAAGGTGACAAAAGGAAGACTAACAAAAAAGTGGGACACCTCTGGAAGGAAACAGGAGACCTGGTTACCCAGGATGTGGAGAAGGCTGAGGTACTCAATGACTTTTTTGCATCAGCCTTCACCAGCAAGTGCTCAACCCACACCACCCATGTCACGGAAGGCAAAGGCAGGGACTGGGAGAATGAAGAACTGCCTGATGTAGGAGAAGACCAGGGATAAGACCACCTGAGGAACCTGAAGATGCACAAGACCATTGGAGCTGACAAGATGTATGCATGGGTCCTGAGGGAAATGGTGGGTGAAATTGCTAAGCCACTAGCAATCATATCTGAGAAGTTGGGGCAGTCCAGTGAAATTCTCTCTGACTGGAAAAGGGGAAACATAACCCTCATTTTGAAAAAGGAAAACAAGGAAGACGCAGGGAACTACAGGCCAGTCAGTCTCACCTCTGTGCCTGGCAAGATCATGGAGCACATTCTATTGGAAACTGTGCTAAAGCACATGCAAAATAAGGAGGTGAATGAGGACAGCCAACATGGCTTCACCAAGGGCAAATTGTGCCTAACAAATTTGGTGGCCTTCTATGACAGCATTGTGGCATTGGTGGATAAGGGAAGAGCAACTGACATCATCTACCTGGACTTGTGCAAAGCATTTGACATTGTCCCTCATGACCAGCTTGTCTCTAAATTGGAGAAGCATGGGTTTGACGGGTGGACGACTTGGTGGATAAGGAATTGGCTGGATGGTGGCACTCAAAGTGTTGCGGTCAATGGCTCAACGTCCAAGTGGAGACCAGGGACAAATGGCA